ACAACCAGACTTATAGTTTCCAATATAGAAACAAGTGCAAACACCTCATCATAGTTTATACCTTCTCTTTGCAAAAATCCCTTCGCTACTAGTCGAGCCTTATGCTTGACAATTTCGCCTTTGAGATTTGCCTTCACTTTATACACTCATTTCACTCCTATTGGATTTTTTCGTTCTAGAAAATTGACCAACTCCTAAATACTATTTTTTTCAATCGATTACAGCTCCTCTTTCATCGCACACACCCACTTTGAATTGCTTAATGCCTCCTTGTGCTCATGGGCTCGGATTCGGCCATAAGCACGAAGTGAATAAGATCACCATCATTGTTGATATCATTATCATGAAATACTTCACAATCTCAGAGGCTCTAAGCTAGACCTATGTGCCTTGTTGGGTGTCTACTGGATTCACCATTTTCAACTTCGACCGGCTGCTGAACTATTTATGCAAAATGTTAATTTTCTGCATTTTCCTGTGAAAACCGGTTTCCAGAAACAAGGAAACCGGTTTCTGCTTCCAAAAATTCAATTCTAGCAGCTTCAGTATGTAGAAATCGCGAATAAAAACAATTTCATTCTGTTGGGAAACCGGTTTCTCCTTCTGTCATGTGAATTTTTCTACTGTCAAACAACCTCAACTCATCCACGACCACATCTCGACTAATCACGATCTTCTTGCTACTCACATCAAACAACTTGTAGTCTCCGATAGGATGATAACCAACTAGCAACATTATCTCTCCTTTGTCATCCAACTTCTTTCGATGCTGGCCCGAAATATGTCGAAATGTTACCGAACTGAAAACCTTCAAATGACTCAAACTTGGTTTATGACCAGACCATACCTCTTCTGGTGTCACTTTGTCCAGCTTCTTATTGGGGCACCTATTCAACAAATAGACGACTGTAGATACGACTTCACCCTATAGTTCCTTTGGTAAGATTTTCCCCTTCAACATGCTACGAACCATATTCATTATCGAATGATTTCTTCTCTCGGAAACACCATTTTGCTGAGGCATATAAGGTGGCACAGCCTCACGCATTATACCCTCAACATCATAATAATTCCTAAACTCACTTGACGTATTCGCCTCCACCGCGGTTTTGAGAATTTTCAACTTGTGACCACTTTGCCGCTCCGCCATGGATTTAAAACGTTTGAACACATCAAACACCTCATATTTCCTCTTTATTAGATAAATACATAGCTTCCTACTAAAATCGTCAATAAAAGTGACAAAGTACCTATTTCTACCATACGAGTCAACTTGCATTGGACCACAAACATCGTAGTACACAACCTCAAGATGATGTTTGGTCATATGACCTATATCCTTGCTGAAACTATTCTTGTGTTGCTCCCTGGAACACACTTTTCACAAATCCCAGCTGGAATATTGATCTTGGCTATCCCGATCACCATACCATTCCTTTGCAACGCGTCGAGGTCTCGAAAATTGAGATGTACAAGACAGTAATGCCACAACCACTCATCACGACTTTCCGCTGTAGCAAGACACTTGTGCTCCATTACTTTCAACTTTATCTTGAAAATACGATTTGCAGCCATGAGTGCTTTGAGAATTAAGACTCTATTACGGTCTAAAACGCGTAAAATCCTGTTTTCCATGCGTATTATGTACTTCTTCTCAAGCAATTGGCCAATGCTCAAGATACAACATTTAATTCCAGGAATGTATAACACATCTTTGATCAAGGAGTGACTTCCATCCTTCTTTATGATCAAACATCACCCACACCATCGGCTGCTAAAGTTGTGTCATCCGCAAATCTTACTTTGTTCTTCGTAGCTTGATTGACTTTGACAAACCAATCCTTTCTATCCGTCATATGCGTTGAACAACCAGGATCCAAGTACCACTCATCACTGTTCTGGACTCCATCTTGAATGGTTACCATTGTGTTTCGCTCTGAATGCGTTTCTGTAGTATTTTCTACACTGCAGACACTACTGCCCAACTTCTGACAGCTGCTACTGCTGCTGTCCAGCAGCTTTTCCATGCCATAATTCTTCTGTGGTCATGACCAGAAGTGTATTATCATCATCCACCTCTTGTCTTTCTACCTTAGCCTCATCACCTTGATTTTCATTCGATTTTTCATTACATTCTCTTGCGAAATGCCCAAAGTTTGTGACAATTGTAACACTTTACATCACTCTTGTCAATCTTTTCAGTTTAGTTACCTTGACCACCACCTTTGGAGCTGATCTCTCCTCTTTGCACCATCGAAGCCTTTGAATTTTGTGACTCTTTGCCACCAAAATTTTGAGAATTTGTCTTTCCTTTTGAAGACCATTTTCCTTTTGATCTCTTGTACTTCTCATTGAACCGTGCTTGTAACGCAATCTCCGCTTTCGCCTTGTCATTTCCTCTTTCATCCATCCTTTATTCATGAGCCTCTAATGAGCTTTGAAGCTACTAATTGCTCATTGTGAGAAGATCCTTTGATTATTCTATTACAACCACTATGTTGTCAAATCTTTGCGTTAAAGAACACGAGATCTTTGCTACCACATTTTGCACCGTTATGGTTTTACCGCAAGACTTCATTTGATTCACCAAACACCTTATACGTGTAATGTAATCATTTACTGATTCCTTCTCTTCCATTTGCACTAACTTGAACTGTCTCTTGTGAGTTTGTAACCTCACAACCTTTGCTTTATCAGCCCCTTCATACGCTTTCTTCAAGATCTCTCAAGCTTGTTTTGCCGACGTGTAATCACCAATCTTTTCAAAGTTATCACTATCGACGCAAGAATGTATCAAGAAAAGTGTTTTGTAGTCTTTCTTCTTCTCTTCCTTGAATGTAGTTTGTTATGCAACTGTAGCTTCTGCCCCAAGAGGTGTAACATCATCGTTAACGACTTCGAGAACTTCTTGATACCCAAACAAAACTTTCATTTTTTTGCACCACTTGTCATAGTTCTTGGAATCAAGAATTGGAAGGTTGGTAGGGATTCGGTCATTGAAAACGGTAGACATGTTTGTAGCAGATTAATGGATCGAAACCAAGGTTCTTGATGCCAAATGTTAGAACATACACAAAAATGAAGTTGGTGAATTAATGGTGAAAAGTGGTTAATTGGAGAAGATGAAGTTTAGAGAGAAAAATTGAAATTATTAGAGAGAGTAATTGAGGAGAAACCCATAAATTGACTTAACATCAGGCAATATTACATGAGAGTATTTATAGGATACATCTAAAACACACATAAGACCAAACTATCCCAAAACAGCCTAAAAATACAAAAATATCGCGTCAGAAACCAGTTTCCTAAAATAAGAAAACCGATTTCCTCAACTGATAAACAATTTCCAGAAACTAAAACACGCAGCAGAAGCTGATTTTCTCTTCGAAACTTTGAATTTTTAACTTTTCAAAAATATTTTTTAAATAAATTGTTTTACACAAAATGATTACAGAAACTTCTAAAATAACATTTAACTTATTCTAAACATTCAATGTTACCAACTGATAACTCGCTCATTTTATTTGTAAATGTTTTGTCATTATACTACAAATATAGATGACTGATTAATTAATTTGGTGTTTGTTTGGGAGATTAAAAAAATATGTTCAATGATGATTTTACTTTGGTGGTACTCATGTGCTAATTGGAAATCAAATGAATTATTGTGTGCATGTTATAAACTCTAATGACAGCATATAATACTGACAAAAGACATCCGTGATAGATATGCTAAACTCAACTATGTTATAAACAAAATGGTCTATTCTTTTAATGTCAAAATAATGATATTTTTTTATTGAAATTGATTGAGTTAATATATTATAAACAACTTAAGTTTAATATCTCTAAATACAAAAAAAAAAAGGATTTTGAAAAAATAAAAATATTTATATTAAAATTTTAAGATTGATCTTTTTAAATTAATCGGTTACAAATTGAATATTAGAATTCAAAAAAAAAAAATCAGACATCTATACTATGAGGAATTCAGGAATAAATAGAAAAAGTTAATATTTAATTGTATTGTGAGGTAAGGATATGCTTAAACTAAAATATGATAACCAAGTTCAAAAAAGACAAAAGAGAAGATAATTTAATACACGTAATTGCCACCAAGAGTTTATATATATATAATTTTCCATGTGTAAAGATCGTCTTAATTAAAAATAATATGAAGGCTCACCAATACTAAACAATATTAAAAAGTCTCAAGTAATAATAATTTATCAACTAATTTAAAATTAAAACTAGCAAAAATAAAATACAAGATGAAAATTAATATATAAAAAATTATTTAAGTTTGATTTAAATCGATCTACTATGAAAAAGGGAAAAGTTTTACGATTAAGGATAAATTACTAGTTTTTAATCAACATATAACTAATAAATTATAGTAAATTAATTCATCAAATTTCATAAAAACAACACTTCTTAATTTATGCTCTTATGCGACTCAATCTCTATAAATCTATCAATATATAAACCATTCAATTCCAAAATGTTTAGAATTTCTTTTGTCAAACCTTAGATTAAATCAAAGATCAATTAAACCCTTAGAATTGTTTGATTGATCTTTATCTCTATAAGTATATCTCTCTATAAACCATCTTCCTCTTTTGTGAGAATGGTTGAAAAATATTTAAGTATGACACAAGTTCTGAGAAAAACGCTTCATGTTTCTACCCTTTGCCACACGCCTCTCCTTTAAACTCCATGCGTTTCATTGTAATCTGTTAAGGTTAGAGAGTAAAAAACATTTAAATCAAGAGATACTCTAGGATCAAGCATTCAAGATGAGAGTTATTGTAGGATCAAGCAATCAAATCAAATTATAACTAATTAGAGGAAATCAAGCAATAGCAGTAGGAAGCAATTATTATGACACAGACTTGTTTCTATATATTGTACCAATACACCTTGTAAATAATGATTAATATAACCGTATTCTTTATATGGTATCAGCTGCCTCTTAGACTCAAAAGAGTACACGATCCATCATGTCTACAGATTCCTCAAACACAGATTCTACCATGCCAGGCAACTCCTCAAACACAAACACAAATCCTATCAAACTTTCACCTCTAAAACATGGTGCCCAAATATCCATTAAACTTTTTGCGTCCAACTTTTTCGCTTGGCGCCGCCAAATCAATTCACTACTTGCTGACATGAAATGCATAGGCTACATCACCGGCAAAATCGAACCACAATCTGAGATGATCACCACCAATGGCATCTCAACAAACAATCCTTCCTATGAAGATTGGTTCGCTAATGATCAACTTATCGTTAGCTTTCTACTCGCTTCCATGAATGAACGCGTGTTTATAGTGATTTCTGGTAAACAACCGCTAGTCTTCCAAACTATCGAATAAACTTACTGACTGTTATTCAATTTCTCTGGTAACTCGCAGGATCGACTAGATTGATCCTAGGACGTGTTGGTCATTAGGGTAACTCTCATGATCGAACAGGTATTCATGGTTGGTATTTAGAGTGTTGTGTAGGTGTTTGACTTATTTCGATTTCTCTCTTAAAGATTTAAAGGTGTAATCAAAATATATGTGCGCGAAACTAAATTGCATGAATAAATGTTAATTGTAAAGACATGTAAAACTGCATAAAAGACAAGTAAATGGCTTCGAATCGTAAAGAAAACAGTTAATGTAAAAGATTCGAAATGTGAAGAAAGCGTTTAATGCAAGAAAACTGTAAAATTGCTTTAAGTAACAGAAATGTTCGAAGGGTAAAAACTTAAAGATAAAGGCATGAAATGTATAACAGTTTCTGAAATGCAAAGTGTTTGAAATGGAAAGAAAGCATTTAAATGTAAGGCATCAATGAAAAGATTTCGAATAAAAAGACTTTAAATGCAAAAATTTGTAAATGGTATTGATACAGAGACAAAGGAAAGTACTGGAAATGATAAAGGGTTTTCATTAAATCATAAACATGTGGTGCTATCTGTGATACGGTGGGAGAACTGACTTGAGGTTTGCGTTTGTATTCGCAAATGTTGCGGTTAGCAAGAGTCGCCACCGACTTTTTATTTTATCCTAAGGAAAGGTTAAAAAGCACAGCAAAAACCTTTTGAGATGTTTTCTTGGGTTCGGGGAGTAGATTATAGAAAGGGAAGGTATTAGCACCCTTTCTATCCATGGTTATCCATGGGCTCTTAGTTACTTGCTTAGATCACTTGCCTTTTGTTTTCAATTGTTTTAAATGGTGCTTGAGTGTGTGGGTTTGAAAATGTTTTTGAAAAGAGGCCAATGTGGTGGCAACCTTTGTAATGATCCATGTGGGGATGTATACAAAGATGTATGTCTTTTGAAAAGGTTTTCATTTGTTTTTGAAAGGTGTTTTGAAAGTGATGTGGGGTGTGGTTTTAGAAAATAGGCAAGTGTTTTGTTTTGCAAGTTTGATTCAAGTAACTAAGAGTTTATCTACTCCTAAATTTCTCAAAAGATTATTGTTATGTTTTAACCCTTTTAACAAGTTTGCACCACCATTGTATTTGGTGGGCAACCTTGTGTTAGGATGTGAAAGGGACAGGCGCGGGTCATCGTTTAGACCATAATTGTAACGACGTTAAATGTCTTTGGGCAATTTCTCTAAGGGACTTGATCATTTGTTTTGTTTGTTTTGAAAAGTTTTATCGAGGGACTATGATCATTCAAACTGTTTGCTTTGCCCAAAGATGTTCAGCATACAATATGGCCCATTTATTTGAAGGCAACAAGTGGAATACCCTAGGGGGTGCAAGTGTGATTTGTGTGTCCATTTTCATGCTTGTTTATCTTGTGTTAGGTCAAACTATTTTTTATCGTTTTTTCGCATACAAACCCTAATTCTAGCATGTTATTATTTAGAAAGCAATAAAGTGCGAAATTAAAATTACTAAGCTATTACAAAACCAAATATGGGAAGGGTGGTACAAATGTTCAAATGGGGATATTGACAAGAATTTAAATCTAAATTATTACAACAATTGGATATTTGCATGGTAAATAAATTGCATAATTTAAATAAAATAAATATGTGAAATGTAAAAAAAGAAAGTTTTTTATGTGTATGAGAAAATATTTATGTAAAAGGAAAAAAGAAAATAAAAATGTATTTATTTTTTAGTATTTTGGACTTAAGGTGAAAAACCCTAATTTTTATATAAAAAGTATTATTATCTAATTTAATTCTACTATTTATTCATTATGTACAAAAATAAAATAAAATGAAGTATTTTGTGAAAAAAAGTATTTTTATATCAAATATTAATAAAAATGAAGAAAATCAAGTATTTTATATTTTTATCTTAAATATATTAATAAACATGTATATATATATATATTAAACCCTAAATGAGTATTATACAAAATAAATATTTATTTAATATTTTAATAAAATAAATAAAAGTATTTTTTGTGTGAAATATTTTCAGAAAGTAAAAATAAAAATAAAAATGAATCTACATTATTTTCTATTTATTTTAATAATAGTGTATATATATATTTGTATATAAATAAAAGAAATGAACAAACAAATATGCCATAAATACAAAAAATGATGGAAAAAATATTTTAAAAATTTTAATGGCATGAGAAAAAATAAACAAAGTCAACCCAAAAAGAAAAAGTCAAAAATGTTGAAAAATAAACGAATGGGCTCAGGGGGGTGTAAACCAAAAAATGGGGTGTGAAAAGGAAACAAATCCAGGCCCAGCCCAGATCACTTCTTCTTCAACCTCTGTACAGCTTTCTTCACACAAAACACGCGTTTTCTAACTCTGGATTCCTGGACTTTCAAGCAAAACTCATAACATGAAAAGTGTAGAGCATTAAGAGACGGTTTCAACCATATAAAGAACATGACCTATCTCTCCAAGATGAGAGAGAATTTCTCTCCCCCTCTTTTCTGACCTAGTTTTTCTACCATTTTCAGAGCTCAAATTCTCTTCACTCAGACAAAAGAAATGAAAAGTAAAGCTATGTACATGTTCAGGGCTATGAGTAGGACTTTGTTTCTTCACAAACTTAAGACTAAATGTGCCTAATAAGAGAGATACGAATTCAAACTTTTACCTGTGCAGTTGAACTTCTATGTGGAGAATGAGAGACTTTCAGTGCAATGTAATGATTGGAAAAGCTTCCTTGAAGTCCAGGGATGCTTTTTCAATGCTCACTTTGTCTTGAAACTTCTTGTATCAAGCTATAGAACTTCACCTGCAAGTCAAAGATGTGAAAATGGTGGAAGTGGTTAGAGCAACTACAGATCGTGCCTTAGCTTCTGGATAGCTTGTATATGTTGTAAGGAAGGTAGAGGAACAGGTTTGGACAGAAATGTTTGAAGGGAAAGAGAGATTGCACTCAAACTGCAGGGGCACCCCTGTTTGTGCAGTTTGAGGATGATTCTGAGATGGAGAGGGTTTGAAAGGCAAATGGCTCGAGCAAAAGCTTCAATGTGGTCTATGGAATGTGTTTGATATCTTTTGTGCTGTGTTCTTTTGCTGATATGAGAGATAGCATAAGTTATGGATGTTACTTCTATGTGAAGCAAGCAAATGTCAACTTGGTTTCTAGGCCAGTACAATGCCTCAATCTATGCTGCACCTTTGAGTCTTGATCAGTGGGATATGCCTATGCTTTTTTGCTTCAAAGATCTGCATTGTACCTCATAGATTTGCAAAGTTGCCATAAAGTATCACTTTACAAGAATGGATAACATGCTTTTTCTAGTTTAGGCTTGATTTTGTGTGTATTATCCAAATGAGCAAAATAATGTTAGAACACAAAGGATATGCATTGAATTATTGAGTGAGAATGGGATTAGAGGCCTGCAATGTAGCTTAAGCATGCTGAATTCAAATTTGCCAAGTTTATGAACATGCTTTGATGAAGAACAAAAGTGAATTTTTGCCAACTTGTGAAATTCGAATCTCTCAAGTTATGAGGTTGTTTGATGAGTTCTTGGACATTTTGGAAAGCTTGTAATGTGTACTACAATCCATCTTTGAAATGCAATTTGAAATTCCAAGTGGAAGGGTATGAAAAGTGGCCTTGAAGTAGGGTAGAAAACCTTGTCAAAATAGGTCAAATTTCACTAAGTTAAAAGATGGTTTAGTGCCCTTATTCAAAAAATCATAACTTGAGATACAAGCTTCAAATGAGAAAACTTTGTGAATCAAAGTTGTAGATTTTGCAACAAGCTACAACTTTCATGTTTTGACTTTTGTTTGAATCCAAATGGATCATGGTGAAAAGATGGGGCAAAGTTGGGAAAAAATTAGGGTTTTCCATAACTTAGAAAAATTCTAAGTTATGAAAAATTCCATTTTCAAACCCTAATTTGCATTTTGACATTTCTTGGTGAACAAGTTTCATAATTTGGCATGTTTTGATGAAAAATGAATCTTGACTCTTGATTTTGACCAAAAAGTCAAAGTTTGACTTTTCAGTATACAGTCAAAATTGATCAATTGACTGGGAAATTCAACTGTCAATCTTGTGTACTTGGGATCTTTTGAGCTTGATGAACATGTCAAGATAATTCCATGGGGTCCTTGAGTCCATATGTGAGCTTGGTTTGCCATTGGCTAGGTCAAACAGTCAAAAATTGCCTTTGTGCAGTCAGAACCCTAAAAATGACCATTTTGCCCTTTTGGTGATCTGATCAAATTTCTTGGGGAATTGTGATTCAAACTTGATCAAATGGTCCATGTGAGTTCATAATGTTGATGTGGATCAAATTTCATGAGGTTTGACTGTCAATTGACCACAGTTGACTTTTTCCCCAATATAGCTGATTTCTAGGTCAACTGTCCAATTGACTGGGAAAAACTTGGAATCAAGACTTGAAACTTGGTATGGGTAAACTTGGGAGTCCAATATGAAGCATGAAAGTCATCTTAGGCATTTTAGGTCAAAACATCTTTAGGCAAGCACAAACCCTAATTTGAGTCCACAGTGCAAGGAGAAGTCTTGAGCAGAGGAAACCCTAATTGGATCTTGATCTTTAAATGTCTTGTGATGGGAAAAATGTTGAGGAAAATGGGAGGGCAAATTTTGGGGTACAACAGTTGCCCCTGTTCAATCTTCTTGGACCTGAAGAGTTAGATTGGCAAGTTTGCCTTTCGCGACTCGAGGGTAAAAGAAGATTGGACACTAGAGTGCCCGGAAATTTGCACTCGCATGCTGGAGTCTCAACAATGTGGTGTCGGGAATGGGCTTATAGATGCCATTTGGAGAGATGGTGGATAGGGAGATGGGCTTTGTAGATGCCATCTGGAAAAGTGACAGAACTTTGTCGGAAATGGGCTTACAGAGGCCATTTGGAAGTGTTGATCGCATAAGAGGTTCCTTAGCGAGAACTTGTGTGTTTAAGA